CCACCCCCCTCACCATTGCCACTGCCCCAAAAGACTGGGCAGCCAGTGAGTGTGAATGCTGCCTCAATGGGGCCTGCTGAGGCCAGCGGCCAGTTGACGCAACTTCAGACACTAGTCCGCCCCCTCACCATTGCCATTGCCTACTAGGCTGCCATTAGTGCTCAAAGCCGCTGCCGATGCTTTGCAGGATCATGAGGCAAGGCAAGGCAGCCCCCCCAGCCGCCATTATCGTTCAGCTGCCGCTGCCCCATCCGGCCCCGGCCCAGGCCACCATTAACGTGCTGCCACCGCTGCCGCTGCGTGTGGCACACGAGGCAAGACAGCCCCACCTGGCCCTGGCCCCAGCCGCCATTAACATGCTGCCACCGCTGCTGCCACACACGGCACACAAGGCAAGACAGCCCCACCCGGCCCCGGCCACCATTAACGCGCTGCCGCCTCTGCCGCCACACACAGCACACAAGGCAAGACAGTGCTACCCAGCCCCAGTACCATTAACGTGCTGCCACCGCTGCCACCACATGCAGCACACAAAGCAAGACAGTCCTACCCAGCCCCGACTGCCATTAATGCACTGCTGCCGTGCACAGCACATGAGGTAAGACAGCACTATCCAGCCCCTGCCCTGGCCCCAGCCGCCATTAACGCGCTGCCACCGTGTGCAGCACACGAAGTAAGACAGACCCACCTGGCCCCAGCCCCGGCAGCCATTCACGTGCTGCCGCCACTGCCAATGCGCATAGCACACAAGGCAAGACAGACCCACCCAGCCCTGGCCCCGGCCGCTATTAACGCGCTGCCGCCACTGCCAATGTGAGGCAAGATAGCCCCAGCTGCCATTAATGTGCTGCCGCCGCGGGCAGCACACAAGGCAAGACAGCCCAACCCGGCCTCGGCCATTAATGTGCTGCCACCGCTGCCGCCACACACACCACACAAGGCAAGACAGCGCTACCTGGCCCTGGCACCATTAATGCACTGCCACTGCTGCCGCCGCTGCCGCCATGTGCGGCACACAAGGCAAGACAGTCCTACCCGGCCCCGGTCGCCATTAACGCGCTGCCACTGCTGCCGCTGCGCGCAGCACACGAGGCAAGGCAGCCCCACCTGGCCCCGGCTGCCATTAACACGCTGCTGCCACTGCCAATGTGTGCGGCACATGAGGCAAGCTAGCCCCACCCGGCCCCAGCTGACATTAATGTGCTTCCGCCGCGCGCAGCACACGAGGCAAGATAGATCCACCTGCCCCCGGCCCCGGCTGCCATTAACGTGTGGCATACAAGACAAGACAGCCCCACCCGGCTCTGGCCGCCATTAATGCGCTGCCACTGTTGTCACTGCACACAGCACACGAGGCAAGACAGTCCCACCCAGCCCCGGGCACTATTAATGCGCTGCCGCCGCTGCCGCTGTGCACAGCACACGAGGCAAGACAGTCCCAACCAGTCCTGGCCCCGGCTGCCATTAATGCGCTGCCGTCGCTGCTGCTGTGCACAGAACACGAGGTAAGACAACCCTGCCCGCTCTTGGCCTGGCCGCCATTAACACGTGGCACACGAGGCGACAGTCCCCCCCACCCCCCACCGCCATTACCACTCTGCTGCCCCCGCCCTTCGTCATCCTCCCCTGCGTGGCTGGCCACTGAAACTTACCGCTGTCAGCTCATGCTCGCTCGCTTGCTCACTGTCCGCTCTGACTCATGCTCGCTCTCTTGCTGTCTGCAGCAAATGCTGCTTCTGCCGGAAGTTCCTCCTTTTATAGCTTCTCGCCTATTGCCAGACTGTGCATACACGGAGAACTGCGCATGCGCAGAGAGGAGGAGGGAGCAGCTCGGACTAGCAATGGCTCACGTGCCACCAGAGACGGTTCCGCGTGCTGCCTGTGGCATGCATGCCATAGTTTCGCCACCACGGTATTAGGGAATGTAACACCAAGGCAGCTGGCTGACAGCCCACAAATGCAATAAGAGAGAAGTAATGGTGTTTGTTTATTATACATTGCTAAAGGCTTTGTAGAGAATCAGTGAATTCTTACACAGATAGTTGGGAATTTCTCCAGGTACCTTCCAGGACTATCAGGTTCCTGGACAGATGTTCTAATGGATCCCATTCTGTAGTTGCATAGAGTACCAGTTAACCTTAGTTGCACCAAGAATTTGTCTGACCATTGGAATGGGGTAGATGTAATGCCCTTCATATTTATATCATCATACAAGTGTCGCAAGGTGAACTCTAATGTGTAACCATCTTGGTGTGTCATACCCAAAATTAATTGGGATAAGTCTGTGGTTCCTATGGAGGTCATGAAATTGAACTTTCCCAGATACCACCACAACCCCCAAGACTCCAACATCAACCTAGAGATGAACGACTCCTGCAGATAGCTGTGAAGGGCAAGCCAGCACCATGAGTTGGAACTGGATACAAAGTAGGAACTAATAAAGATCATAAAGAAGACCTGGAGATACATTTTATATAATTCAGTCCCAATTTGTCTCTTGCCACAACTTTACTGACTGAAGTTTCTAAATCATCTTCAAGGGTATTGCAATAATCTCAAGAAATTACCAGGGCATAGAGGACCATTGAAAGATTACTTCCTTCAATAGTCTGTCACTGGCACACCAGCCTAACGTAGTGAAAGGTGGGAAATATATGGGCATACGTGAAATCTTGGATTCAACAAGCCTTGGTTTGTTGAACCTAATCCATAAATCTCCATTAGTCACTTATATAAGGAAAATGTCACACAGTCCTGCAACTTATCACTATCAAGAAAGTGGAGACAAACCGGCAAACATTTCACTTAGTATGATTAAGCAAAAAATCAAAACTGTTTTTTTCTTTAGAGTTAATTTCACTTCATAGTTATTTAAAAGGCAGTTGATAAGAATAAAATATTATAAACATCACTTTCATATTCAGAATTTATTCTTTGAAATAGGTTTTGTAAAATGTTATTCATCAAGTAATGATTGGTAGCTTTCCCCATTTTAAACCTGTGAGTAATTTTGTAAATATTTAAACAGAAATAACTGCTTACCACTTAGTCCAATATATCTAGCTCATTTACTTTAGATATTAGCATTGCATCTACTCTATTGATTGCAATGCTATTCTCTCTTGTTTAAAGAGAACAGCTGCTAAACTCTAAGTTTAAAAAAAAATCAGGAAAACAAAAGAAAACTGAGAGTATTCATTCATAAATTGCTTGTTTAGAATCCTCTCATGTTTTTATCATATATGGCAGACCTTCAAATATACCTTGGTGATAGTAGACATCAGAATGTAGAATCATGGTAGTGTCCTCTTTTGCCCTTATGTCAGTGTAACTTTCATAAAATATTTAGCCCTGTGTAAACAGCACTCTAATTTTTGGGGGGCACATCCCAAACCATTTAGATAAACCAGACTGTCTTATAATTTAGGGTTAGAAGTACTGAAAAATACTTTCAGCCTACTGTACATAATGTTGACTATTAGATTTTACTTCATTTTTTCAGGCTCTCAAATATATTTGACTGGCTTCCTTTAAAGATATATTATCCTCAGTTAGTGTTGCATACCTATCATTTTTGTAGTTTGGCCTTCAGTGTGTTTGATTTCTTAGCTGTGTGAATGATTGAAGGGGCTTCTGCAAAACCAGATATGGTCAGGGAGCCTTTATAGATTAATCAACCATGTTGGGAGATCAGTTACTGCATTAAAACTATTAACCAGAAGCTTTTTAGAAACTCTACTCCTGAATTTCTAATTTAGTCTTAAAGGTTGTTTGAAGCAGTTGAGTGAAAGCTGTGCCACTATACAAATTCAAGATGAAGCCTAAATGCCACATATGCATGGAGTACACCTTGCCAAATCAGCTTCTATTATCATTGCACTGAAAATCTAATTTCTATATAAATTTCCTTTGCTGATCTAGAGGATTTGCAGGGCCAGCTAACTCAACAGTTTATTCTGTTAGAAATACCTTATTCTTTTTAGATTTTGTATCCCACCTTTCCATTAATACAACATTCAAGTAGCTTATAGCAATGCAAAATACACATCATAAAACATAAGAATAAAAACAATATTAAAATTGAGGCAAAACCTAAACTTTTACAAGCGAAAATCAAAGGCTCTGGGAAGTGGTGGGATCTTGCCATTTTCCCCAAACACTGATTAAGTGGGGAGTAAAGGCATCCCCTTTGACAGTTCATTCTACAGATTGGAAACCACACAGAAGACCATCTCTCAGAGTCCATTTCTGCAGTCAACTTTCAGTCAGATTCTGGTGTCAGGAGTCTTCAAAAGAGCTTTTCCTGCTAATTTCAGGTTGTTCTCCCTCATCCAACATGTTATTGAGTTTTTAAAAGTTCAGAAGTTACTTTTTTTAAAAAAATCAAAGAAATGAGAGCTGAGAGTCATCAACATAATAACTTGATGATTACTTGAACTGTGGGTTGGATGAGATGATTTCAGAGTTTCTAACTAGCAAAGTTGCACTCCCCTCATCTATTTCTAGGTCATCCATATTCCAGCTGAAACCCCAAATGTAATAGATCCGTATAATCAGTTTCATTCTGATGCTTCTAGATCTGTAAGGACCCACTTTCGTGATCATCTTATCCTGAAATGGAAGATTGAAAAGTAGCCTATAATTACAAAGTTCCAGATCCAAGAAGCACTTTCTAAATAGATGTTTTTAATGTTCATTTAGGGAGCATTAATCACCTCTTGTAGCCATGCAGCCAGTCCCAACCAAACAATCCCCTCCCACACACATACCCATCTACTCTGTTCGTTCTCGACCTTAAGACATAAGAGCTAAAAAGATTCAAAACAGACAAGGCCAGCAGTTCCCAAGAGTATCTTCCTACGACCTGCTCCAATACTAGAAACTGCTCAAGGGAGCAATTTCTATATATCATTCATACTGAATGGGTTTGTATGAGTATACACACTTACTCATCTCAAATAATGTTAAGAGACAGGAAAAGAAAAAGAAAAACAGCTATTGTGTGTACCAATGACTTTATTGACACTGATATAGTTTTGAGACCTGCATTCCAAGAGAAGAACCAGAAGCTTGAGAACCCACCAACCTCTCCTGTATCAAGGGTCAGGCAAATTCCCAGAAATCATTCTTGCTACAGTCTGTAACTACATTTGCACAAAGTCTCTCATACCAAGCTGCCTGTTTAAAAGATGTAGAATTTTCCTCTTTTACAAGCCTTGCACATTTGTGGAATTCTGTTGAGTTGTGCAAGATGAGGCAAGGTGGCTAAGGGCCCTTGCTATGATGGAGAGGTGGTGGTTCATTGTCTTCAACTCTGCCAGGATGTTTCCTAGAGTGGCAGGTACCTGCTCAGAATGGGGGAGAATGTCCTGAAATGGGGGTGGTGAACAAACTGACTCTGGAGGCTGCTGCTTGATGAAACCAGTGTGAACATTCCCCCCTTCACTGAGTACTGGTAAATAGGTGCTCCCACACTGCTTCGTGTGCTCAGGTGGGCCCGTTCCAAGGGATGTTTGTTCTTCTTCCTTCCCTCTCTTTGTGGTGGTCATCACTGAGGCAAGATATGGAAGCCAGTCAATAAGGTGTGGGCCATGGCTAGGTGACCCAGCAATATTTGGAGGTGAATAAATGTGGGGTTGTGTAGCTGATGCAGAGGCAGTTGGTGTTACGGTGGAAGGAAGACCAGAATGTAGGGAGGAAATGGAAGCAGAAGGTGGGTTCAGTGTGCTAGAAACTGATACCTGTGAAGATTCAAGATTCAGGGCTATAGTGGATGTGGGCTGTGATGATGGAAATATGGAGACCTCACAACCATATGGAGGAGATGGTGAAGGAGGAGCTGTGAGTGTTGTAGGATCTTCAGAAGATGACGGTGAAGCAGTGGCAGAGGGAGTATCTGGAGTGCAAGGCTCAGAGTCTGCAAAAGAAACAAGAATAACCATCCCAGGAAAAGTCATTTTACAAAACAACAATTGCAGTTGACCAAGGTAGATTCTTAGAATAGATATTTGAATTCTAAAGTAGATATTCCTTGAGAAAAATCTTAAACCTGCAGAATGTGATACTGTCAAGTTGAACAATTCCAGCTGCCCTTGGATTAAAATCAGATTCTCTTTACCCCCTTCTCTTCTATGCCTAAATGTTCCTCTTTTAAGCTTTGATTACCACAAAGAAAATTAAAATGCAACAGTAATTGACTATGAAACAAGTCATCATAAAACAGCTCCAATTTCCAACCATCTCTGAAGGATTATTATCTCAGATGAAGGGAATCAAAAAGTGTTTCTTCAGAGAAGAAAACAAACTTTTTGTTGGCTTTTAGATGGGTCAGGAAGAAGAGAGAGAATAGAAGATATAAAATAAGGCTTGAACCTGAAAGAAATAAAGCATTTTGTTAGTGTCCCTGGGTTTCCAGCAATTCCTAGCTCATTTTTTTCCCCAAAAAATACACGTATTAGTCTCTAGGCAAAGCCCTTAACAATCTGCTTGACTAACTTTTCCCAGTTCTTTCCAGATCCTCCATTTGGATCAGCACTGCCATAGATACTGTATTTCTGGTCCAGAGCACGATAGCTTACTGGTACTAAAATCAGGCAACTTCCCTGTCGCTTATCTAACCATTCCAGGCACAGGAATGAGAAGTACTTTAGCTAAAGTATTTTAGATATTGTTTCAATATAGAAGCAAAAACTTGGGAATAAAAAAAAAAACAAATAGCAGCAGTTGTGATGATGGCTAATGATACCAAAACAAGACAAAATACTGCAGAATTAAAAAGCAATTTGCAATGAGAAATCTGTTCCTTGAGAATGGCAAGAATTGCAATTTGGTCTCAAAAAAATAAATTGTCTGCTATTCTAAATTTAACTTCTTGAGCTGCAAAGTTGTCCTGTGCTGCTGAAAGCATACATGGATACAGTGATCTTGTGCAGAGTTTTTGGATCCTTATTCTGAAATCTGCTCTATAACCACAGAGACACGACGTTTTGCTGGATTCTGACTGTTGATCTGTTTGCAGCAGAACTCTTGATCTAGCTGTTTTAGGGTATCATTAGTTTCATCTAGTCTAATAAACCATCTAAAGTCTTACATCAATGGTTTATCTAATTCTAGCAGAGAAACATTTTGTCAGAACCCATATTTTACAAGACCTTTGTTTTCCCCTTTCTAAACCCACATCTCATTCTCTTCTCTTCCTGGGTTCTGCCATACTCCTGGAGGGGAGGGGGAAGTGCTTTAGGGTTATTGCTTTTCTTTCCTCTATTGCTACAATGTAACACTTTGCTGTTCCTGCATATATCTTCTGTGAACTTTTTCTCCCCTTGTTGTCAGCTAGTAAAGAGGGCAACTGAATTATCTCCACGTTCGCAAGGGAAGGTGCGAAGAGCCGACCAAACATCGCTGCGGCCTCAGAGATGGCCTGATGTTATCTCCTTTTTCCCACAACGAACTTAACACCCTGGGATTGGCCTGTTTGAACTGACCAGATGAACTTTGGGGTGGGGTTTTGCATGGGATACTTTTTACCTAGTGATCTGGCGGGAAACCCTCAGATCCTGTCTATTATGCCTGCTATCAGTTTCTCCTAATAAAGGTTCCTTTTGGAAGAAACGGCTTCCATGAGTTCTGCTTTCTTAGGATGAGGTTTTGAAGTGGGCCCTGACATTAGACAGGATCTGCAGTAAGAGTCAGCCCAGAAGGATAGCCCTTACCGGGGGACTTCGCAAGACCATGTCAGACAACGGAGCAGGGAAAGAAGGGGGAGCCCCCCTGCTGGTTGGACCCCTGCAAACTATCCAGCTTGGAAACCTCCTACTCATCAGAAGAAGAGGTAGTGGAGTTATGCAGCCACAAACCTCAGTGGCTGATGGGTGTTGGGAAAAAGGACGACTGGGAGAAGAAGGCAAGGAAGGTGACCCTCCGACGAGGAAGCCACCAGCCAGGTTGGAAGAAGGAGATGGAAAGATTCCCCCATCTCAGTGAAGATGAGGAGGACCGCCCCAGGCACTTGAGCCGGTTGCTGGAGCAGGCGATCGGCATGATGAAGATAGCCCTGGACTCCCTGAAGGAAGAAAAACCCAAACCCTACACTGGAACCATCCGCCTGGGTTGTGGGAAAAAGGACACTGAAGGCGAGTCCGAAGCTGAAGCCCCAGAGGCATCCAGTGAGACAACTGAACCTGCCGTGGTCACGGTCGCCACCGCTACCCCTAGACGCATGGAATCTGCACACCCAGAAGGGAGATGCCACAAGCACAAGAAGAGGCAACACTCCATCCAAAAGTTCCCGCCACTTGATGTGAGCTGCTATGCCTGGGGTTTTCCTAACCCAGGTTTTGAATTACATGGAGGAATATGGTCGAGACATCCACACTGACCGTGCCAGAATTCTCATCGTGCAAGCTGCCCTGGATGGCATTGCAGCAGACTGGGTCGTGGACCTCTATGATGCCGATGCTCTGGAGCTACTAAACTTCAATCAGTTCATGTTCTCCCTCAGACAGAGGTTCGAGGACCCACTGGCAAATCGAAAAGCCCATGAAAGAATAAAGATGGTAAAGCAGGGCAGACAACCAGTGGCAGAATATACTCAGGAGTTTTGAACCCTGGCTAGCAAGCTAAATTGGCCAGAGGACATTTTACTTAGTCATTTCAAGGATGGCCTGAATGATGACCTCTACGATACCTGCCTTCCCAAGAAGATCCCCACCGGCTGCAGGATTGGTACATCCTGGCTGAGGAAGCCGAGATCAACCTGGCCAAGAGACAATGCAGAGGGAGACCCTGAGGAAAATCATCATCGTAGCTATACCGCGATGCCACGAAGCAGCAGCCAATGGCCAAAAGAACCACCGGCTGTTTCAAGTGCGGCAAGGAGGGGCACCGCGCTGCAGAATGCCGCTTGCGCACCCCAACCGAGAAGTAAACTGGACCCCAACTGGAAAGTCCGGGAAGTCACCCACCAAGCCGAAGGAGCCAGCCATGAAAGGCACGGAGGCCGTCGAGTTCCTCGCCACTGCCCAGCAAGGGAAGGGAACTCCGGCCTACACCACAGGAGTCTCCAACTCGTCCGACGACAACTTCGAAGACAAACCCCTGGTAAGTGGACCCATTGTGCCCCTCACCAGGACAGTAACTATACTAGCCCCCACCATGCCCAAAGCTGTAGAAGTCAGGGCATTAATTGATTCTGGGTGCACCCATTGCCTTATCAGCCCAACGCTAGTAGGGAATTTAGGCATACCTTTGGTCAATTAGATGGGTCCATATCAGGGGGGATGCTGGCTACCCTAGCAATGCTACCGCTCCAACTCACCCTGGGGGAATCACACAGAGACTATAACGTTCATAGTGATCCCTGGCATGGAATGCCACATAATGTTAGGCATGGCATGGCTGGCAAAGTGGAACCCATGGGTGGACTGGAGAACAGCTGAGCTTAGGTTCCCAAAAGGGGAATCGGCCAAGCTGCCAACCAAAACCCCCTCTCGAGAAACCCCTGCAGAGAAAGCAGTGATAGGGGGTGAAAAGGAACTACCTGAGATATCCATGGAATACAGGGATCTGGCTGAAGTATTCAGCGAGGAGAGGTCGGATGAGTTACCACCGCATCGACCCACAGACTGTACTATAGAGATCCGACCAGGGGCAAAACTCCCAAAACCCAGTGTCAAGCCCTCCTGGGCTCGACACACAAAGAGGGAGAGCCAGCACCGAAGTCAAAAGCCTACCGTGTGAAGGCGCAGGTCAGAGAGCCTCCGGTGAGGATCTTCAGTGCCCACACCTGACAGACAATGCCGGGGACGCCGCGCATGTGCAGTTGGAAGGCTGCGCATGCGCACAATGTCAGTGAGCCGACGATCAGCTGTTCGGCGGCTAGCCGACAACCAGCTGATGGGCGGCAGCCCGAAGATCACAGGGCGTCGCAGCAGGAGTGCAGGGCGTCGGCAAGAAAGATCCAGATGGAGGGAATGACCTGGCAAATGACTGAAGAGTGCTGGTTGGGTAATAGGAGGGTGTGGTGTAGGATGGTGGATGGGTGGGGTGGTGGTTTGTTGGGGGTGTGTGGTTTGTAAGTAAATCGGTGGAGGGTGGGGTTGGACTTGGTAATGTATTTAAGCAGTGCTGGGAGGCGATAGCTCCCAGCGACTTTATTTGCAAAGAGCCTCATAGCTGCAGGTCTCTGCTAACGTCAAAGCTTGATCCTGATTAAACCGTTATTACCTGAGTGAACAGCGTCTTCGTGTGCTTCATAACTCACGTTCCAGTAAGGATTAGCGACAGAAAGTTTGCGCTGCTTATTTTCTTTCCTATTGGAGCCTGGTTGAATTGTCTAAATTGAATCATGGCAGAGGGTACTCAGGAGGTGGCTCCTTCTGGGGCAGAGGCAGAAGAAATACAAGTGGAAGCTGTGGAAGTGGACCCTTCTGTCATGGATGATGCAGTGGTACGCCCTAAAGTAGTTGAGTCCAGCCAGGTGGACCGGTCAGGCGACGATATGGGTTCCCAGGGGATGACAACTGGTGGAACCACCCTGATGAAACCTGGTGGAAACACCCTGACTGGAGAGTGGTGGCATAGCCCTGCAATCACTGGCATGCCGGAAGGACATGGACCTGGTCCTGGGGAGGAAGGCCGAGGGTCGTTTCAATGGCGAGAGCGGCGTGTAACAGAGGATGATGAAGAAGATTGGAGCTATGCTACAGCCCCCGGCCAAACCACTATAGACCTACTACGGGAACAATTCGGGGAAGGAGGCTATCAGGACCCCTCTTCCTGGCAAAGATGGGACCAGGGTGCAGAAACAACATCCTGATCACAGGGCGGTCCCTCCTCGACCCAGTCCGCACCAGGAAGGTTCCGACTGGTGAGTCCGAAATTGAAGTTGGATCCTAGCCGGGGGGCGATGTGTATCAG